GTAGCGTTCTTGCTCCTAGTAGTAAGGCGAAGAGCCCCTAGTAGCGTGTTCCTAGTGGTAAGGCCAGGAGCCCGTAGTAGCATGTTTGCTCCTAGTAGTAAGGCCAAGAGCCCCTAGTAGCGTCCTTGCTCCTAGTAGTAAGGCCAGGAGCCCCTAGTAGCGTTCTTGATTCTTGCTCCGAGTAGTAAGGCGAAGAGCCCCTAGTAGCGTCCTTGCTCCTAGTAGCGATGCCAGGAGCGCCGTTCTTGCTCTCAGTAGCGATGCCAGGAGCCCCTAGTAGGATCCTTGCTCCTAGTAGCGGTGCCAGGAACCCCTAGTAGCGTTCTTGCTCCTAGTAGTAAGGCCAGGAGCCCTAGTATCGATTTATGACCTCCGACAGACATCTTTGTCGAGAATCGATATTTGCAAGATGTGGATGGGTTGGAGGATCGGCAGCTGACACGAGGCAGACGCAGGAAGACGGTCCAGTCCAGTCGAATTGTTTTTTGTATGTTTTTGGACTAGGTGAGTTCTGGCACTTTGTGGCAGCTGGTGGCTACCGAACTCAGAAGTACTGGTGGGATGCTCGGCAGTAACACTTTGGTCGATATTTTTTTACTCGGCAGTTTTGCGCTGCTTTCTGCTATCAGGTCAGAGGATGGCTGGAACTGGAGAAAGTTCCGCAACATGAAATGGCCATTCTTTTGGGTGCAGGATGGGTCACAGCCCAAGCTGCTAAGAAATGAGTGTAGATTAAATTAGAGTTTCATTCAAAATTTAGTCTAATTTTAGTTCGAATTTAGTGTAATTGAGTCAACCCATTTTTGCAATTAAATAACGCAGGAGGCCATCGCTATTATGCCCACACGAGTCTTTTTACTTTCGTATGATCTTTTCAAGACATTTTGTGCTTTCTAATTTTTTCGACTGCCGAGGCCACAGGGCTCAATGCAGTTCAAGCTCCGGACCATCTTCGAGGTGAGGGAAATGAGGCGTAAACAAGGCACAGCGAGACATAGCCATTGCCGAAACAGACATAGCCATAGCCATTGAAGCACGTGGAGTTATGTTGAATCTGGTGTAGACCTGGAGTCTTCTGGCCAAACTTCATTCTAGCATTTTGGTTTGGTACTGCTTTGTTTGGTTTGACCATGTACCAGGAGATCGATATGCAGTGGAGCTGGCCGGCGGACGTGAATTATCACGAGGCAAAGCAGACGGAGATAACGAGCCGACGAAGTCTGTCGAAGTTTCAGCTGTGAGCAAGGACGCTACTAGGGCTCCTGGCATCGCTACTAGGAACAAGAAGCTACTAGAAACAAGT